TTGTAAAATTTTGTAGACTTTTTAAGGGTAGAATAACTATTTGTATGTGCATGTGCTCACATGCATATGCACACACACACACATGCACACATGCATATGCACACACACACACATGCTCACATGCATATGCACACACACATGCTCACATGCATATGCACACACACACATGCACACATGCATATGCACACACACATGCTCACATGCATATGCACACACACACACACGCACACATGCACACTTTATCCTTTTATCTTCAGCTGACACTTAAATTGTTTCTGTATCTGGGATGTTCTGAGTAATGTAGTAAACATGAGAGTCATTTCTGAAACTTGATCTACTAAATTCTGCATACTTTTATAGATTCCCTGGATAATAGATGAAATTGTCATCTTATAGGTAAAAAGCATTGAATTTCATACTTCATATAATTCAAACTGTGCTGATTCTGATAATTTTTTCTTTTCTATTTATTTCCTCCTTCTTCCTTCCTTCCTTCCCTCCCTCCCTCTCTCCGTCCTCCTTCTTCCTTCCTTCCTTCCTTCCTTCCTTCCTTCCTTCTTTCCTTCTTTTTGTTGTCTATTTAGCTACAATATTCTTTTATGTGGACCAATTTTACCACAGGAAAAAATGTAATAAATAATGAAAGACAATATACAGTGAACTTTAGTATCATAGTACTTTGAAAAATACACATCTCCCTGTTATCTAGAGTAACAAGCTCAAGAGGATTGGGTGAAAGTATATTATTATTCCTATTAGTTTTCAAAAGTGCAAACTATACTATTTGTGGTCTTACTCATTTGTTAGTTTTGTGACAAGATCTCACTGCGTAGCTCAGGTTTGCCTTGAACTTTCAAGTCTATCTCTCTCTACCTTCTAAGTTCTCAGAATTACAGGCATCTATCACCATGCTCAGCTTTTCTAATTTAAAAAATTCCAAAGTACTTTGATTTAGAATTGGCACTCATTCATTTTCCTGATTTTTTTTTGTTAAATCTAAAAGTAAAAATATAGTCTACTCTATGTCAATAAAAGACAAACTTTGAGGGGCTTAAATGTCCAGACCTATAGACCCTTACTAGGTATTTTGCAGAATTCAAAAAAATGTAGGAGACAATTCCCCATTTTAAATAAAATGTAAATCTTGAAATAGAAATCATAATATTGATTTCATGGCAATGAATAATTAATATGTATGTTAAAGTTGATATTCATATGGAAGAATTAATACAAAGACTAGGGAAAGAAGTAAAAAAAATGGAAAAATGAAGATTTTTTTGTGCTTGAAAAGTCTATGTCATCCACTAATATAATTTTCCTATTGACCCATTTAAAAGAAACTTTTGAAGGCTACTGTGTTCTTAGCACTGTTTTAGTGCTTTAGCTATAGTACTATCCTCAAACACATAAAAAATGACTGCCTGCATGAGTCCAGAAAGGTAAGACAGGTATAAGCACAGCACAAAAACCTTATGTGGTGTGGTAAATGGTGTGGACAAAAGGAAGACTGGGTGGGATAGGTCATGAGAATGGAATAATGTAAGTTTTCCTTACAGTTGTCAGGAAAGCTCTGGTTGGGAAGAATATATGGGCAAAGGGTATTGGGAGAGTAGGAACATACCTTCGTTATTCCTTTCTAGAAATATTGTTTGTTTATTGTTCCAAGTCATAGAGCACAGTGTGTAGCCCAGGCTAGCCCCAGCCTTCCAGTAGTCATCCTATCTCAGCCTCCTGACTCAGGGATTGCAGACATGAGCCCCCATGCTGCATTCATTCCTAGGGAGTTTAAAGAAAAAGACCAATTTATTAATGAAATCATAAGCTTTCTGAAAGAGGGATAGAACTGAACAAACTGTATCTAGAAATATATTTTGACAGAATTCTTATACATCAGCATTTTGCTCAAACAGGCATAAAAGAGGTTAGAGTCATAGTGCCTTGTCCATCTGAGAAAGACCTGAAGTTAGGTTCCTGTTTGTGTCCATCTTTCCTCTCTTGGAGTCCCTTGAAATGTGGTTATCTTTGTTTCCTTTCCTACTCCTGTAACTGTCCGGTATCTTGGCTAAATGAACTAAATATGAAGGAAGGAAAAGCTAGCTCATAGGTGTAGATATAAAAAATCTAAGAATCCACAATAGTCTCAGTTATTACCCTTCTTTTTGGTATTTTATTTATCATTTTTATTGTATGTGTATGAGTGTATTGCCTGCATATGTGTAAGTGCCCCCAAGTCATGCAATGCCCATGGAAGTCAGAAGAGGAAGACAGATTCCCTTGGAACTGAAGTTATGAATGATTATTAGCTGCCATGTGGGTGCCGGGAATCAAATCCCAGTCCTCTGCAAGAATAGCCAGTGCTCTTAACCTCTGAACCATTTCTCCAGACCCTTATTTCCCTTCTTTTATCCTTAGAATATGACATACTTAAGGGCAGTCATTATATTTTATATAAAATATTTGCTCCATTTTAGAAATAATTGCAAGAAAAAGAATGTACCAGTTCATTCTCTTCAAGTGAGCCAGGTGTCCCCAAATATTAATGACATCCAAAAAGTAAAAAAAATTTTGGAAGCCGTGCTACATTTCAGATCAAGGAGGCTGTTATGTGTTCTTCATAAGATCTTAGTGGAACATGATTGATAGTTAAAGAAATGGTTGTCTACATATCATTTTTGTGTGTCAAAAATGAATTGATGACAATATATTAAAATAAGATTTGCTGTGAAAATCACCTTAAACATCACTTCTAAAATCACTAAAGGGAAAGAAAATTTGACATATAGCAGAGATTTAATTTTAGAATATTATTTATAGGTGATGTTAATGGGAGGCATTCTCAGTAGTCAGTTGGATTCACTAATATCCGAATATTTCAGTATCTATGACAATCATGTTTATTTATTGTGACTCATTCATCTTATAGCCAAGGCACAGGGGCAAGAAAATGGTGGTAGTTGTCATCAATATATTGTAAATACTTAGAAAAAGCAATATGACCCCTCTGTAGATAAACTGACCTATAACCAATGAGTCATAAGAACTGAAAAGAATGAGATAGAATCCACGGCTTCATACATGCCAAGCACATACTCTACCACTGAGCTAAAACCCCAGCCCTGAAAGAAAACTTTTGAAAGAAAATACTAACAGAAAAGTCCAAAGGTAAAAATTCTTGCTACAATTTTCACTGTGTAGTTTTAAAAGATATTAGTAAATATTGCGCCCTCCAGCATTTGATTTTGAATGATGCCCTCTACCCCTACAAAGCCTGTTACACCTGGGCCCCATTTCCAGCTTCATTGTTTTGGATAACCCCAGAAAGGCTCTACATTGCCATACCTAGTGGAAAGCTGGGGCCTCTGCTCAATTTGAATGTCTGTTCCCATGCTTGTAGAAAGGATGATACCAGTGGAGACAGAGAGTCTAGGACATGATTAAGTTAGCTCAATAAGGTAGAGTCCCCAAAAGGGTGGTCAGGCTTGATCCATCTGATTCCCAGACTAGAAAAGAAGGGAAAGCTGTTGACATAATCACCCTAGGTTTTTGTGGCCTCATGCACAGTCCAGCACGGACATTAAGCAAAGCTAGTGCTCAGGATGATTGCAATGTTTTAAAAAGGAAGATTGCTGCTTTGGAAAATAAAAGGTTTACAAAATCACAAAGGGTCTTACTGGAATCTACTTCCCCTGCAAACAGCATGAGAAAAAAGAAGAGAAGGAAGGTCCCTCGGTGAGAGGGGGCAATGGGCTGGCCAGGCTGGTGCTGGTGTGTGACTTGGGTTGGACTCCCTGAGCCTCAGTGGTCTCACCTAAAAGACAAAGAGTGTGGGTGAGGCTGAGTGGTTTCCACGGATCCAGATATGGACTGGATTGATCTCACAGAAAAGAAGCAAAATTTGAATATTTATGAAAGCAAAAATAACTAGCGATCAAAAATGGCAAAGAATATGTCAGAAGGAAAATTCATCGTATTGAATTTTTCAAATACAGCATAAACTGGATATAGACAGTTGATACAAGAAGGAGGAGAATGAAGCCTGTCCTTTTGTCTTTACATTTCCTCTACTGTAGTCTTCTCTCTTCTCTATCATCACCTCATTTTTTTTTCTTCTTACTTTTTGTTTCTGGTTACCACGGTGACACTTCATCTCAGCAACCGTCTTTGCAGCTGGCTCTTTGGGTACACATCAAATGTTACTCCATTTACTGGTGTAGGGTGCTAACAATGCTATAGGAATTACTTTATTAACAGTTTCTCCATAATTAAATGCATGAATTATTCTACTGTGAGCCTCCCTACATAAGGGGCACTTTAAAACAGGGCTATTCAACTGTTAATTTCAGTTGCTAACAGGGAAGGAGACTGATGATGCCGAACACTGAACTCTTTTCAATGGCCCCCAGGGTTGCAAGGGTCCCAATACTAAAACTAGTTCCCACCTCCTTTTGTATGGAACCAGAATAAAATAGATTATGCACAGATATCACACAGCAAGCCTTGGTTCCTCATCCCATTTTTTCTCCCTTGTATGAAATACATTGCCAAGTGCGTAATTATCATAATTACAAAGCCCTTGAATTTTCTCTACAAATATATACAGGTACATGCATTACTTTAATGAATACTTTATTTTGGAACATAAATAAGCAATGTACAGTAGTTTTAAAATATTGTATTATCTGTCAGTGACAAAACATCAAAGAATCCTTGGTGTTCTTCATGCAGATAATAAAAATTCCTGTAAACTATCATTTACTTATGTCCTGGTTTTTGTAGCTTAACTTGTTTGTAACCCTATATGCCTGAAAATGGTCTCTAAGCACAGGGTGTGTGTGTGTGTGGTGTGTGTGTGTGTGTGTGTGTGTGTGTGTGTGTGTGGCAGTAACACAAAGGAAACCAGATGATGACATTCATAGGCTTATAGACTCGACTCCTGGGGACACACTTGGATGGAGGCAATTAAAATGCCTGTCAGGCATTTGGTACCAGAAGCCCCTGTGGCAAACCGCTAAATCCTAAACCAGGGCTGCATCCTATTGTCAGTGAATGATGGCGGAGCCCAGTGGCTTGTCGTCATTCTCGAAAATTCTGAGACTAGTGAGCTCTCTCTCCCTCTCCCACTCGCCTTATTTTCCTTTCCGCCACTGCGGGGACTTTTTCTAATTTGCAGCTTCCCTTCCCCTGACACACACACACACACACACAGACAGGAGCTGGTGGCTTACAGACTGCGTCTGTCTGGAGCTAGAGAGGCACAGAACAGGGGGAGTGCTCCTGGAGGATTCTGCAGCAGTCTTACAGACTAGACTTGGGGGGCATTGCTGCATTCTCACTGGTAATGCTTTGGGGCTTTTACCTTTTATTTGCTTCATTTTAAATCCATTTTTCAAGGAATCAGCTTCCTGTGATCTTGGAGTACGGTGTTTTAAAATTCAATACTGATCTTAAAAATTCAAGTACTGCCTTTTTTGTACTACGGAATCTAAAGGATAGATTTATTATCTGGATATAAAGAATGAATTTACTTATTGGTGAGTTACAATTTTTGATATTTAGTTAACAAACCTATATATGTGAGTGTGTTTTCTTTTGTTTTGTTTCGGTAGATCCTTCACCTTGTCTCTAACGGATGAAGCATTGATTGGAAACTACTCAATCAGAAAATTAAAAGGTACTGCATGTTTTATTTGAATGTTTAAATGAGGGGAATTCAAGGAGGAATTGGAATGTTTTTATTTGGGTTCATCTCTTTATGGCGGGTCTTTTATCCTCCAGCTATGCCGATCATTGTCTATAGTATATACATTTCTTATGCAGATAATACCATCAGCCACGGCTGTTTTGAATAGAAGGTATCTAAAAAACTGTGTCTTTTGCCTAGGTTGCAAATTATTAAGAAGTCTCAACATGTCTGGCTCATTTGTATCATTTGAATGTTATCATTGTGACAGTTAAAGAAATGTCTAAAAATTCTCTATCACAAAGAAAGTATGTTAATCTGAACTTGAAAGAAATATGTTAAATAATGATTTTATCTGAAGGTTTTCTGTAGATAAGTGATTTAAAAAGAACATAAAATGAAATTCCTTCTCAGGTAAAATGAGCACTAGAGACTAAAGCCCAGGGATGACTCAGTGTTGTTGGGCTTTGTGAATAAAATATTGTAATTTCTCCACTGATGTTTCAGTCTTCAACAGTGAATAAATTGAAAGGCTGACATTGTTAATTCTTAAAAGAGCTGATCTTACTTTACATATGCTTTATTTGGAATTGACAACATAAAGAAGTAATCCTTTATCTTGTTATGAAAGTAGTTGGATCCATTGATCTGGGCCTTATGCCTTACATAAAAAATATCAGTTTTCAAACTCGCTATCAGGATATAGATTGATTTAAAATGGCAACTACGGGTTTTGCCTGTTCTTTAATTCTTTGGCATTATCTTTGACTGTAGCATACATTCTTGTCCGTAAATCCTATAGTAGTCATTCGTCTTTTGAAAAATGGAAGACATTTTCTGCCTTGCTGTGAAGATCAATAACACCCTGTAAACCTTCTTTTGACATCTCTATAGCATTTCCCTTCAAGACTATCAGGTTAAAATATTTTATACAGAAGGTTAAGCTTTTTGAAAAACATACTTTCGAAATGGTCAGGAGTCAACTACCATAGGAATGAAATCCCATAAGTATGAAAGTACACACCATGAATGTGAGAATTTGCAGCAGCTGAGGGAGACTAATGCATTGTCCTTGCTTAATTTTCTCTGCAATGTGTATCACGAGAGCCTTAATTTATTCATTTTACAAGCATTGCTAAAGAGCTTTGCTTCTGTGGATAGTTTATAGTGCAAGAGAGAGGAGAGACAGATGACACTGTCCGCAGGCTTCCAGAGCGTAGGCAGTACCACATATGAATTTTGAGCAGAGAAACGAATTTGTTAAAATAAATTAGCATGCTCTCAAAAAAGATACTAGATTACTTCAGATATTGCACACGTTCCAATGGAATGATCTTAGAGGGATATGAAATGATTCTTTGTTTTTTTCTTTAGAAATTATTTATTGGAATCATGTATGTGGGCCTCTAACAAGGCTCAACATTTTTAATGCACGTTGTAAAACCTTTGAGAGCATTCTTTTTTCAGGTTTCAGTTAAGATAAGTGAAGATACTTCATGTTTGGTGAAAACTGTTCTTTTGGGTATTTTCTCCTCTGACCAAATCCACATAGCATATATTTTATGATCTGATTCCTAGCCTTCAGATTCATTCAGCAACTTGTTATATTAATTTTCAGCTTTGGGATATTTGTGCTAATTGGAAAAGGATAAAATTATTATTGACCTGTTAAACAAAAAGTCTGCAATGTACTGTCAATATGAACTGATTAGCTCTGTTGTGATTTAGAAAGGTACTGGAAAAGTGGCATATGGCCTTACCAAGAGGTTTTTATTGCCTACAGTTTCCAAGACCATTTTGAAATTTATCTGGGGGGTTTTCTAACAAACTGTATGTAATAAAGACCAACTTGTTAAAATAGTCTCTTAGAGTCAAATCCAACATTTTGACTGTAGACTTAGAGTCATGTGTCAATCTCATGGTGTGACTAATCAATACTGTCTTGGTAGAAGTTATTTCCCTTACTGAATTTTCTTTCATTCATATTTTTAATGTACAAAATAGTGCCTGGACCACAGTTTTTCAGTGAACATTTATTTAATTGCTCAATGGGTAAATTCATTCATCATCACTTCTGTCCATTATTTTCCAGTTTTTCTTTTCATGTGGTGACACACTGGGAATAGATTTTTTATGTTTTTGTGTTATTTTGTTACTTAAAATGTTCATGTATGGCCCTTGTTAATAATTATTACTATTTTGTGATGCTGGGGATTAAATCCAGAGCCTTATGAATGCTAAGCAAAGGCTCTACCACTGAACTATATTTCCAGTCCCTAGATAATAATTATTAAATAAATAATTTGGGTAGAAAAACAGAGATATGTGTAAAAATTTCTCCAAGTTATAGGGAAAATTGTTTCGGGGGGTTAGTTTAAGGTGGAAAGAAACTGCAGTTTCATCAGATGGAGAAGAAAAGGCAAACTGCAGTCAGGACTGTGCCGTGGGTACCTCCTACACGCTACTCCAGGCTCCAGTCTGCTCTCTGCTTTTCAGTCCTTCCACCAAGCTTCTACTGCAGCGGGGTCAGAGGACTTGATCTATTAGATTCTTTATAAATGTCATACTAGAGAAATGTCTACCAACCAGAGCTTAATGACCAAGAGAGTGTTGCAGAGTAGATAGATAAACCACGAGTGGTGGTACATGCTTAATCCCAGTGTTCAGAAGGCTGAGGCAGGACAATCAGCAGTTCCAGGCCATCATGACCTTTGGGCTACAGAGTAAGAATCTTTTTCAAAAAACAAAACAAAAACAAAATGCCACATAGATATTCATTCTATGTATCTGAAGGATGTATGGAGAAACTTCTAGAATCTTAATAATTTGGGAGAATGCTATTTATTGTTATTTGCTTTTGTTCATAGAATTATATTTTTTTATATATATCTACCTGACAATATCCTAAGCCCTTAGCATATGATAGTTCATTTAACTCTCCCTATAATCCTTGAGGTAGGGTAAGGAAGGTAAGGTCTCCATTTCATAGCTAAGAAAACTTTGGCTTCAACCGGGTGGTTAACCTGAGTCTAGCCAAAACCCCTTATATAAATGCCTAGATATTATATTTTTAGCAGATTTTTTGTGTACATTTTCTTGATATTTTGTTTATGTACATAATGCATTTCCATAGTATGATTAAAACAGTGTGTTTGCTGGATTCTCATGTATATATAAAAGAGGAGTGTCTCCAAACAGTGTAACATTCAAGCTTTCATATATTTAACATATATGTGTTTAATACTCATGACCATATATATTTTGTGCAATACCCTTAACCAGGCAAGTTTTTGTCAAAGAGGACTATCAGATAAACTGGGGAAGTTTTAAAGTAAATTAATAAGGCATATTCCTTGTCATTACCATGGAGTCGTATGGTTAATTCCAGAGCCTATACACAATCATTGTCTAGATGATTTAAGAACTAAATACAACTCATATCATATTTTGTAAAGGCTTTAAAATGTAAATAATGACAGAAGACTCAGATGTCTGAAATAAAGAAACAAGTGGAGAATTATGTCATGAACATTGTGGAAATTACCATATCCAAACTCAAGGACAAGTTACTCATAAAAATCAGTGAAATGGCTAACAAAATAAACAGTATGTATTAAACCCTCTACCAAGGAAAGAATGAAATCAACCAAATACTCCTGATCTTAGCTGGGTGCAGTTGAGTAGGACAAAGAAACAGTATCAAGGCCCCTTGTACTGTACCTCACATGAGCAATTTCCCCAGCAATTCAATGTATGGAGTTTATGGAAGGTGAAGCATTTGGGGTAGAACTCAGAGAAGAATAGAAGTCAAGGGGGATAATGCATTGGAGGATCTTCAAGAAGGACAAGTGTTAGCAAAGGCAATAACAGAAATGACCAAGCTTGGAACACCCAGAGAGATCTCATGTGTTCTAGAACATAAGGTAGATCAAGCAGACCCGTGGAAGAAAAGATGGAAGGGTACCTAAATACTAGTAAGCTATACCATATGACAGGGTTGATAGTCACCCTGTTGGATACCAAAATAAAATTTTCATTCAATTTAACTTAAAACAAGAAGACTTTTAAATGACAAGTTTTTGTTTTTTGTTTTGTCTTTGTGTTTTTTTATTCAATAGGAGCATGTTTTTTAAGAGATGACTATTGCCAATCTGTATTTTCAAATTATCTATCTAATAGCTCTGTGTGAGACTGTGAGAATGAGGATATAGTTCAAAAAGCATCATTTAGATGTTGCCATAGAGAAGTAAAGCAATGGCCCAAAGAGAATATTTAAGACATTCTGAGTTCAGTTTTACATTCAGACATATCTTCTGATTAACTGTTAGGAGAAATAAAAAGCATAAAATGACTCAAAGATGACTCTAAAGTTTGAATTTCATAGCCAGAGAAATATTAAAAGATCTCTGAGAACATTTGCATGAAGAGGTCCTCTTTTTATTGTGTCATGAATCTCTGATATATATAACAATCTCTACTACATAGCAGTCAAAGAAAGAAAAAACAAAAGCAAACCACTGACTGAATGAAGGTGTATCAAAAGATGAAAGTGTTTGTGTAGGGTGGACATGATGGCTGGACCTTGGGGCGGACTGGGCTAGAAAACTGCAGAGCATATAGATTTAAGATAGAACAGGAAACTAGGTCTGGAGGATGTAAGTGATGTCATCAAGAAAGACACCAAGAGCAGGGCCAGAGAGGAGACTTCTGGTGTCACCCACATTATAAATAGAGAGTAACATGGGAATTGACCAAGAGGAAGAATTAGAAAATAAGCAAACAGATAATAAAAAGTATAGCGAATATATTAGAGAACAAAGCTAATACTCAGATTCTCAAGAAAAATTAAAGAATAAAGAAAAATAATGCAATGAATCAATATTGTATAAAACTTTATATATCTACAGTTTGCATAAGGAAGGAAATGATAATCACCCACAATTATACAATGTGTAGGTAATGGTTATTACTTTTGAAACATCTCTTCTTTT